TACGTGACAGATATTATTACATTAACCGATCAGAGATTAGACCTTGGATTATTCACGTTGAATAGACTATACTTATTATGCATCTGCAATAAAAATATCCTCCAACTCTTGCCTTATTATATTTCAATTTTCTGGTTTTGCGCAACAATATTGTTAGTATGTATGAATACGTGACAGATATTATTACATTAACCGATCAGAGATTAGACCTTGGATTATTCACGTTGAATAGACTATACTTATTTATTTAAAAAATTTTGTTTAAAAAATCCGGGTCGCCGGGTCAAAAATTTTATTTTATATTATGTAAACCAAAGAATTGGGTTTATGTGGCCTAATTTCAGCATACTAAAATATTTTCGTCATATTAAACTATTTACGTTTTAGATAGTCAAAAATAAATTCGGCAGTCTAGATTTATGCCAAGAGCAAAATAATTTAGACCTCATGTATACTCCTAATAACGATATGAACTTTATAAACAATTTCTGATGGTGACAAAATATTATAATTGTCCGAGGTGAAGCGAGGACTCTATACATATGAGACAAATTAAATGCAATTGGTTGATTTCCTAATTATATCTATTGTTATACGTATATAACATCTCTGTCCGTAACTGGTAAGGTAAACTGCTTGGCTTAGCCAGCCATATCGATATCGATATGGCTTAATTCACTACTGCTACTGCTACGCTTCAACTCGCGTGTAACGTATTATGCGTATTATGACATTAGCTCCTATATTCTTCATATGGCTAGAACTGCTTTATAATTTTAATATTATGGAGACCAAAAGAAATTAACTTTTTTATGGTCTTATAATGTCAAACAAAATTTATTTTTTTGATCTAGGCTGCATAATCATAACCTTAATTGAAATCCATAGCTATATCTCGAAGAAACAATCAATTCTAGCATCTACTTTACGTTTGAATCAATATATTTGGCAATTTACATTTAGGGTCCAAGATTAATTTGAACTGTCTTCACTTGTGTATATAAGTTTAACGAGTATTTTCCGAGCTCACGACCAATTCCAGATTCTTTAAAACCTCCAAATGGACTGATTGTTAAAAAATAAAATAAATAAATGAATAAACATAAAATACATAAGTTAAAAAACAAATAAGCGAATTTGAAATTTTAATTTCTTACGTATTGGTATTAAATACATTATAGCTGTTGACTGTTGTAAAGTAGATGATAAAATTATTAAATATAATTAAGTGTAAAGGTTTAATTGTATTGGGATTTAAAAAACTTACCCCATACTGTACCAGCTCTCAATGTATTTGAGATTTTTATTGCACGCGATACATCTTTAGTGAACACAGCTGCGGCCAAGCCATATTTTGTCAAATGCGCCTTTTCGATTACTTCATCAATAGTTTTGAATTTTGCAATGGCTACAACGGGACCAAATATTTCTTCTTGCATGATCTTCATTTTTTCATTCTTAAAAAGTAAAAAAAACTTAATACATACTCGTAATGATAAGAATGTATATAGTTAAAATAAAACATTACCACGTCAACAAAAATAGTTGGTTCGATGAAATATCCTTCGTCACCGAGTTGTTTACCACCCATTAATAAAGTTGCCCCTTCATTTTTACCAGATTTAATGTAATCCATGATTCTAAATATATACCAAAAATTAATTAGTCATTATTTTTACAAATATATGTAATATAATATTACCTATCAAATTGTCGTTGAGAAACCTGAGGTCCTTGATAAGTATCTTCATGAAAAGGATCACCAACTTTCATGCTTTGTGCAAACGTTTTGAATTTCTCAAGAAAAGTATCATAAATAGAATCTTCAACATAAACACGAGAGCCAGCACAACAGCATTGACCATGATTGAAATAGATTCCTCGATGTGTCCATTTAACAGCCTCTTCAAGGTCGGAATCAGCAAATATAATATTTGGCGATTTTCCACCTAATTCCAAAGAAACTTTTTTCAAATTGCTTTCAGCGGAAGCTTTTAATATAGATCTTCCTACAGCTGTCGATCCTAAGAAAGAAAATTGAAAAAAACAATTAAATATTAAACCTAAGTATAATTTTCATCATAACTTGGAATTAATTTAAATCTCACCTGTGAAAGCGACTTTATCGATTTTCATATGATTAGCAATAGCAGCACCAGCTGTAGGGCCGAATCCGGAAAGAATATTCACGACACCTTTTGGAAAACCAGCTTCTTTAAATAGGGCACCCATTTTTAGGGCAGTCAAAGGAGTGTATTCAGATGACTTAAGCACTACAGTATTGCCTAAGAAAAAATATTTATTAAAAAGGAATTATTATTAGTAAACAAATTTAATAACAACATTATTAAAATTATTAAAATGTTTTTTAACATTAATACCGCATGCTAAAGCTGGTGCTAATTTCCAAGATACCATAATAATTGGAAAATTCCAAGGAATAATCGCGCCACAAACGCCAATTGGTTCATGACGAGTGTAACAGAATTTATCATTTTGGGTTTCAATAACCTACGTACGTACGAAAAAAATATGGATTATCCCGTTTTAAATTCAAGGGGTAGGAAATGTTAAGGATTACCTTGCCATGGATCTTGTCACACCAACCGGCAAAATATCTGTAAACATCAATTGTAAAGGGAAGATCCATAGACTTTGCTATCGTAAAAGCTTTACCATTATCTAAAGCTTCAAGAGCAGCTAATTCATCGATATCACGTTCAATTAAATCAGCAAGTTTATTTAATAATCTTCCACGTTCCTTTCCATCCACATGAATCCATTCTTCATTAAAAGCCTTTGTAGCAGCTTCAACTGCAATGTCAACATCTTTTTCAGATGCTTCTACTACAGAAGTAATAACTTGGCCTGTTGTAGGATTGATGGTCTCAAAACGTTTGCCATCAACAGAGTCAACAAATTCGTTATTAATAAAAAGACCAGTAAAAGCTATATAATAATAATAATATTCAAGATTAGATTAAATGTATCATGATGTATCAAAAAGTATATCAAAAAGTATATAAAGATTAAGTACCTTTAACGGTTTTACCGTTAGGCAAAGTAATATTTTCTTCGTATTTTGAGCCCATATTTATTATTAAGGAACGAGGAATAATTAAACGAGAATTTTTTGTTACTATGTATATATATTTATATACTTGTGATTACGTAAAATACTTGTACGTAGTAAGTATGCAAAAAACTTGATACTCAAATACTTGATCAAGTTGAGAATTCTCAAATTTAGGAATATGCATATACTTTGCTTTTGAGTACTTATGTATATATTTTTTTTTGATATATGGGAGGTATATTATGTAAAATCGAATTATTTGATTACGGATTTTTTTGAATATAAAATCTAAAAATGGTCATACAAAGAAACCGAATAATTAATGATTTCCCACATTCACTGACGATCTCTGTATAAGGATAAAAGGTTTTAAACTTCCTGCACCGGGGTATTGCAGAAATATGTATTGTATATAGATGTAAGCTATTTATCTTTGATAAGTTAACCCTTTTTATTAGAATTTCTTAATTTCTTTTACGAACTATACATACATACTTTATTATTGTACTGTACGTAAATACTGTACCTGCGTGCGTACGTACGTACGTACGAGGGCATCAAGACTAGAGTTTGGAACTGAGTCCGAATTTATTTAATTCATGACATTCAGCTTCGAATTTAAATTCGAATTGTTAAATTGAAATCCGAATTTATTCCGACAATCAGTAACAGAGCCAGTAAATTTTAGTAGCATCTAAAATAGCGCTATTTTTTTAGCATAAATAGCTAGCAACATTGTGCTAAAGATGCAAAATTTGCTACTTTTGTACTAAGCATGTGATTATTACTTT